GACTGTGGCAGCGGCAGTCTCATTATCCAGCGCTACTGCGCATGCGTCACGCATGCGCACGAGGTGCTAGGGGTAATCTCAGACCGTGACACCGGCAGTGGTTTGAAAGTGAAACTGTAGGTAAACTGTAAACATTTCTTGGACTGCGGATTTCGATTAGACATTTCTTAGTAACCAGCAGTGATATTGGACAAACTAATACGCGTTTGGCTATAAAGTCATGTACTTATTAACTACACAAGGTGCCAGTTACCCTAGCATTTGTCGACATTGCATAATCAATGGCCATATTATTCCTTTATTTTAATATTATCTGGAACTACATGTTGTTGGTTTCCAATGGTGTAGCACACATACTTGGATTGCCCCAGTGAGGTTCTTATATAATAGATGCTTTAGTGGTCCAATTTCAGCCTCGTGGTTCTTAAAATCACGGGTTCTTTTATGCGGGTGTTTACTGTACGTGATACTGATAGTGATAGTGTCAGATAGTGATACTCATAGGACAACGACCCCTTCAGCCGTACTTACGGTTCCACTTGTATCTTGTATCTTGGCACCCTCTCTTGTATTTCACATAGGCACTCGATTCAACGAGGTGCGGGGATAATTCTCTAAATATTAGGAATAATAATTATTATTCTTAATAATTACATCGTTGCTTGCATACTGCCACTGGCACTGGTAGCCTGAGGGCGTAGCCAGCATGTCATCAACAAAACGCAGCGACACCTGGCGCCAACGAATTCATTTAATTCCGATAGATAGATGGATTTATTTCTGACGTAGTATAGATATTTTCTTGTGTTACAACACACTGTACTTGCCTGTATAAACGTCAATTATGTTTGCAAGAAATTTTATTTGAATTTGAATTTGATTTTGAATGCGTGCGAGTTTCCCTCCACGTTCTTTTTTTAAGTCTGTTCCGATAGATGGGGCTGTTATCAAAAACATAACGTATCGTGGAAAGCAAGACTAGACGGGTCCCTGCCTTCGACTCCACTCACTATGCTCGCTCTGCCAGGCCCAGCGAGGTTTAAACCGAGACGTCGGATCGAGTACCAGTCTACATTTTGAGCAGCTATCACCGCGGTCCCGCGGTCACAAAAAGCCAGTCAGTGCAAGAGTGCCAGTGTATGTTATGTGAACTAAAGAATCTCATATATAATTATTGTTTAAGTAAGTCAACGTTGTTCAAGTAAGAGTTATGTTTGGAATTTGACTGTCAAATGTGAGGCTTGCACAACCACAGGTATTGGCAAACGCAGCAGCGCACGCAGTAAACAAATCCTTCAAAAGTTAAATGCTTATAAGTTATAGTTATAGTTATAATATTAATTATTATACTATTACTATTACTAATACTAGTATTACTAATACTATAGACCTACCGTGAGCTCGTCTGTTGCAAAAATTCACTAGAACTCATTTGTATTGCTACTTTCATAACATTTCTCAAAATCTAAACGAAGATACAGCTGTGTAACTTTAATGATTTCGCTATATTTAATATTAACATGTTATCATGCAAATGCATCGAGCGCGAGCGTAGTACTAGTGGGGGTGGTGAGGGGCGGAGGTACGGGGAAGGTAGGGTGATATGCATATACGTACAGCATTAGTCTGCTCCTGTCTCTGACTTGTCAGCTCAACCTCTCTCTCCTTCTCTGTCCTAAGATTCCTTGCCACTCCAAGCATCGCATCCTTGTTGGGTGTGTTCTCTACCTACATACACGTATAATATTTGCGTGATCACGCGTTTCCACATGCAAACATTTTTATCGCCATCTAACAGATATTTATCATAGTTCATATAATTTCTAAGGTATTTCAATGATGACATATATCTCACAGAATGCTTCATTTATGCATTAGTGTAAATCTGCAATAGAACCTTTTTCTTCACACGTTCCACTCTCTTAGTTATCTGCTCTTTCTCTTCATCCATGTTTTCAATGTCTTTCTTGATGTCAGCTGTAGAAAATCCACTACTTGCTAGAGCCTCATGATCCTTGTGCACCTCTTTGAAAGTCTCCATGAGCTCACTATACTAAAAGTAAACATAACCATATGATGTTAATGAAATAAATAATATCCACTGCGGTTTATTAATACACTAATCTTTTAATATTATAACTGCAATCAGAATTATGTGTAAGCTACTTCATATTATGCCACAATTACAAGTATGCACAACATTGGTCCTACATCTACCTTGTCAGTTTACCTTTACATCTACCTAACTATCAGTTGGTATCACTGATGTCGATGAAGGATATGAGATATGATGTCATTAAAAGTTCCTTACACTCCAAGTACAAATGTACGTGAAGCTGTTTATAGTTGCATCGCTTTCAAACTTTTTCAATCAATGTTATAATCATGGCAAATAATAACTATGAAGGCATGAGAACTCAATGACTTACTACAACAAGCCGACTAAAACATTACCAGAAAAAAACTCAGTGAGCAAATGAAAATACAGAAAAACACCGGTTTTGAAAATATAAAGATCGAAACCTGATTCTTTTCACATGTCACACAGACACGGGTCAAGAGATGCCAGTAAAGATACACTGAACGTATTTGTTAATTTACAGAACATTCCAGCAACGTTAAACAATACCAACCTGCCCCGTCACCATGTGAACCTCGTCATCTTGCTGGACTTCAGGCGGGACTTCAGTCTTGACTAGGAACTTGGCCAGGTAGGCTCGCTGCTTGAGCTCGGGCATGCGCTGGAAACACCACTGCATGATCGCGTAGACAACCGATTTGTCTCCCTGCACCAAACCCTGCCTGAAGGTATTCCTGTGCGCAGAAGACAATAACACGATAGGCTCACATCACATTATTTTGCTCACATAAAATTTCATATTTTTTCATACTTCAGCGTTGTACTCTTAAAAAAGATATACTGAACATTTCTACTACAAGAGGGGAGTTATAATAACATATTTATAACCTACTACACCATCAACAGGGAGTATCAGTGTACAGAAAAATGTGGATATTTTTGACTACTCATTAGTATTAGTATGGACTACTGTGATGTATTCTTATTGCAGAAATTCATGGATTATATTTTGATAGCACGCTTACACATCTTCTTCTGGTTTGTATTTGAGAGCCCGCAGTACTGCAAACATGCGTACAGCCGTCTGATCTGCAGCCTCTTGTCTGATGTCAAGCTTGTTCTGTAATTCAGTTAAAGTGACATTTTATTACATTTTCTGTAATCGTGTATTGTTCACTCAAATGTATACCTACTCGATAGCGTAACGAATATTTGTAGTTTTTTGTCATAATTACTGTCTAATGGTAATACAAACCACTGATCCAAATCCAAAAAGGCTTTACAACAATATATTTGGGGATTTCCCTCAAACATAAGTGAATGGCCAGCCTCGAATTTACACTTCTGAACATTGTAACATTTTTCCGTTTTCGTTTTCATGCATGTACAGCTAATTTAACTCATTGATTTATTATAATGTATCAGTGGGAGTCAGTCTGAAAGTTCAGGGCCCCATGCATAGATGTGGTGGTTAGAATTGGAGTGGTATAGGGTTCCGCCGGTGCTTGCATAGGCCTTATTATGGCTGGTAGGGTCTATGTCTCCCTGGGTACTGCCGGAACGTACCCTGGTAACTATCTGATATGGTTAGGGTTAGGGTTAGGGAGTAGGCATAGGCGACTCCCTAGACTCGTTAGTGGAGTAGGCGAGGTACGGTCCGGCATATTAGATAGTACCAGGGACAGGGTACGTTCTGGCAGTACCCAGGGAGACATAGACCCTGCGGGCTATACTATGGCTGGTAGGGTCTATGTCTCCCTGGGTACTGCCGGAACGTACCCTGGTAACTATCTGATATGGTTAGGGTTAGGGTTAGGGAGTAGGCATAGGCGACTCCCTAGACTCGTTAGTGGAGTAGGCGAGGTACGGTCCGGCATATTAGATAGTACCAGGGACAGGGTACGTTCTGGCAGTACCCAGGGAGACATAGACCCTGGCAGCCTTATTATGAAAGGGTTAGGATTATCTTATATGATTACAGCATATATACAGGGGTCATAGCGCGTGATTGTGAATTTAGTACCTTTGGATCAAGTTCAGCAAATATATCATTGAGAACCTGAAGTCGCTGCATTGGCTCCAAGGCATCAAAGCTTATCAGGTTATAGTTTTTGGTGAATGGAGGTTTGTTTAGCTCTTGCACGATGTATTTTAGTCGCTCACTCATGACTGCTGGATGTTTTTCTTAATTTTTTACGAGAGGTTGTACGAGAGGTTTTTACGAGAGGTTATCTAAATTCTCCAATCAAATATTCTTGTCACTGGCAACTCCACTTTGTCTTTGGTGCGTCATTATGATTATGGTCTCACTCTCAGCGTTTGTTAACTTACAAACACTGTCACATTACAGTCTGAAATGCAAGAAAAAGTGTGTCTGTAAATCAGTGCATGCTGCTTAACACAGAAAAATATATGATTAATAAATTAAGTAAAGATCATAATAGTGACAGTGTACTTTTTATTGTGTTACGTGTACTCACTCATTTGGTTCAAAATATTTCTCTTGACCCTTGACAACCAAAAACAGTCACTGAAACAGGAAATACAATGCGCGCACCTGTGCAGCCAGTAGACGGGTACTCGCTCCCACCTCAATTACTCGATGAGTATCACTCGATTACCCCATAGATGATTACCCTAACCCTAAGCCGAGAGGTGGGACCGGGTACCAGTCTATACAGCCAGGTACCGCTAGTAGTACAGGTAGTACATCCGGATTAAAGCAAAACAAGAGTAGAAATTGAATAATGAGTAATCATTGAATACTTCAATAAATAACTAAATATTTGGTCGTGGGTATAAATATTTTCCTCGATATTTTACATTTATATTACTGCATTATGTATACAGTATATACACATGGTGGCTATCTCTGTAATAAAAGTGCGATGCGTAGTGAGTAGAGGGCGCTACGTTCTTTCTCGACGTGTAAAATAAATATGGTTTCCAACACGAAGAAAAGAGACGGTTCTGCGGCAAAGGTAAATTCGTGTGTCTTTTTCGTGTGTTACTAACACTTCGCTTTATAACTTTCTGCGTAACGAAAATATAAATATGGTATATCTGGCGCAATGTACAACGTGATCTAGAGTAGTGGTAGTGGTCGCACTACTGTAGCCTACGATTCCACTTCAGCACTGCCACTTGTCAACGAACATAAAATAATTTACGCTGTGGGCCTATATGCGGGCCAGGCCGGGCACGTCTTTCGTTTTCCTAAATGCACCGGAGTTCTTAACCCTAACTCTAACCCTAACCCTAAACCTAACAAAACCACTCCTAACTTTAGCCCTAAACTACACCTAACCCTAATCCTAACTCTAACCTAACCCTTGTTTACTTGAGAATAACGGCTAAAAATTTAAAAGGCTGTTGCTCCTGCGGGACGGTACCGTCGCCGATAATTTTGTTTCTCTTCAACTCACGTAAGTGATGCCAGGCGCCATACTATCGTGCCGATAATAACTACGATTGCTTTTTGGTACGATATTATATATAGATTTTATTACGCGATATATTTAAAAACGGGGATAACCTAACACCTAACCCTAACCTAACCTAACCCATAACCTAAACCCTAACCCTAAACTCTATTAATTAAGAAAATTTAATTTTTAAGTTGTTGTAAAATTAATTGTCGTTATTAAATGTTGTAAAAAATAATTAATATTTGCGTTAATTGGAAAAAAAAAATGTTAAACAGATAAAGAATAAAAATACAAAAACAGGAAAATAAATTTAGTAAAACGGATGGGATTCGATTCCCGCGACCATTCATACTTCGCGGCATAGCGCACAACCGTGCCGCTGTGCCACTAAATAATTTTTGGATGGTGCTATGTTATCAGAAAACAAACTCAAATCAGGCGTCAGTACCGTCAGTACCGTTTGACTTTAAGAGAAAAATAATCGTGCGACTGCTACCGCGCAGGAGCAACAGCCAAATTAAAAACTGCCGGGCATTTTAGGAAATCGGAAAGCCTGCCCGGCAGCCGTCAGATATACGCCGGCTGCCCGGGCATATAGCCCACTGTGAATAATTACGCCGTGGCTATATTGCCCGGCAGCCGCGCACCGTGTCTTCGCATTTCCTAAATGCCGCAAGTTCTAACCCTACCCTAACCTAACTACTGACCCTAATCCTGACCCTAATTCTAACCTAAGGCCATGTGAGATATTGACGGTATGAGTTCCGCGTCCAAGATATTTGTGAACAAGTGAGGAGCCTTTTTCTTCATTTTTCATTTTTCATTATTCATTTAAGCATTTGTAGTTAACCCATTGTTCATGCAACATCCGCATACATGTGTGTAATAATTCATATTTTATTATCCGTGGTCGAATATTTTCTTCAAACTTGTAAGGGTTTGATCCTTACGTCGGTCGGTGTCCTGGCCGTCTGGTAGAATGGAGCACTCCCAGTTGATCCCAGGCGGTCCTTATATATCTTGGCAGCCGTGGCCTTGCCTGGGCTTGCCGGGAATCCTAGGTCGAAGCCTGAGTATGAATCCTGTAGATTCCGGTAGCATGGCTTCGACCCGTATGTGGCGGTAGACACCTTACATTCTCCCCTCCTTTGAAGCAGAGTCCTGGGGGGAGAGTCTGGATGTCGACCGTAATATACCCTTTCTACCCAATGCCTTGCCGGGCTGGAGAAGCGCCGCCAGTGTCCATGACAGTATCAACCCAAACGGGGGATACCCGAACTAGCCCCACGGGAAAAGACCCATCCAACTCCCCGGGGGAAGTCCCAACCAACTCCGCAGGGGGAGTTCCAAACGACTCCGCGGGGGGAGTCTCAATGCACTCCACGGGGGGAGTTACTACAAACTCCGCGGGGGGAGTTACCACAAACTCCGCGGGGGGAGTTACCACAAACTCGCGGCGGGGGAGTTACCACAACTCCGCGGGGGGAGTTACACACAACTCCGCGGGGGGAGTTATCACCAACTCCGCGGGGGGAGTCTCAATACACACTCCACGCGGGGGGGAGTCTCAATACACTCCGCTGGGCGGGAGTGCTCAACGCACTCACGCGGGGGGATCTCAACACACTCCACGGTGGAGTCTCAAAGCACTCACGCGGGTGGAGTCTCAAACGCACTCCACGGGGGGGAGTCTCAGCGTACTCCACGGGGGGAGTCTCAGCGTACTCCACGGGGGGAGTCTCAATACACTCCACGGTGGGAGTCTCAGCGTACTCCACGGGGGGAGTCTCAATACACTCCACGGTGGGAGTCTCAACGGCATCCGAGCGGGGAGTCTCAGCGTACTGCCACGGGGGGAGTCTCAATAAACTGACCCGAAGGGGGGTCGATATCCAATGTGGACCCAAACGAGGGCAGACGCCATAGCTCAATCGTATATACCCGCATCCAGCGGATCATACGCCTCTAGATGAGGCGGGTTGTGTGTTAACTATCTCATCAGCCAACGCGCGTAGCGCATCTGCACGCAACGGAAAATGGATCACTGGTAAAGAGTCTAACAAAGGCCTGACATAGTACGACTGCGGATAAAGTCTACACTAAGGCTGACAGATTACTAGAAATCAATGCCAGTAGTACGTCAAACGGTAATTCATCTACACGAAAAAACGGTGCGAAAAAATCGCGCTCAGCGCAGCACGGAATTCGAGCTCGATGAGCCCACTAGCCCACCTAGCGCTACCAAAAACCCTTTCAAGAGATTCCGGCCGATTGCGAAGGCTTCTTATCCAAGGCTAAACTTTACCGCAGAGAAGAGCTGATCAGTGAAACCCTAGCCCCAGTGTCTATCTCAGCTGTTACGAATTTTCTGACCATTGCAATCTTAATATGAGGGGTTCCGGTGAATTACCCCCGTTCAAGCTCAGCGGCATCCGCGACGGAGGCCTGCACGACCTCACTGATTAGCCGGCGTAGGCTGCGTACGCCCTCTAGCACTTTCTAATGACGGCAATCTTTCTGGTACGTGACCCGGCATATACATCGATAACATATGACGTGTGTACCCTTGCCTAGCACCCGGCCTAGCGCCGCTAAACGCAGGTCTGTCTCGAATCGCTCGTCGGGCTCGGGTCTGCAGAGGGACGGGACTCCTACCTCCACTAACTAAGCCACCCTGAATAACCGTGTGGAATTATCACTGTGATATCTCGCGATCCCTCGCGTCTAACAGTCATAAAATCATCTGCAATTTGTCCCGCATGAGCCACAGAACTTACTTTCAGTTTGTCGTAAGTGGTGTCGGAGATCATCATTCCGTATGTTAGAATAAACTGGATCAATCGAGTACTGTCTCCAAAACCCCGTAGAACTGTGCATGTCGCAACACTCCTGAGGCGGCTTAAGCCACCTATGAAAATAGGGTTTGCAAACATCCGCAAATTCCTGAAAAGTCTCATCTAGAAATTTCTTCGCTGTTTTGAAATTAACTCTGTATGTCTCTGAAGTCAGATTGTACGCTGCGAGTATAGCCGCTGTCACTAGCTCAAAGTTTTGTTGACGTCATCTGCTATACGAAATAAGCATTTCTGAGCTCGCCCCGATAGCAATGGCTCTAGAATAGCCGTCCACCGAACTCTAGGTTTGCTCTGCGCAATACAATAGTCTCTCCAAATGTCTGTAAGTAACAGTCAATGTCATCATCTGTGTCAGCTTATGCATGCCACTAACTATTATACGATGAACCTGACTCTCTATGCCAGCGCTGCTACCGCTCCTCGATCTGCAAGTAACTCTGTCAGAAGTTCATGTTGTTGTGCATGCCGCTGTTCGTGTTCAGATTCTATATTCATTGAGAAATACTTACGGCATTCAGCATTGCAAATTTATTGACAATTCGGAGCATTTATAATTTATGACGATCCGGAAAAGACACGGCAGAGAGAAAACGATTTCCATGTCGTCAATTTTGGCGCAATGATGAGTTCCTGACAATCTGAGCATCTGTTACTGTATGTGGTTCAATTATAGTGTATCAGCCGAACAGCTATCGCGCTGAACAGCTTGGCTGGTAGACTGGTACACGCGGTCGTCCCACCTCTCGGCTTACTCCCATCAAGTAATCGAGGTGGGAGCGAGTACCAGTCTACTTGGCTGGTTACCATTTCCAACTGTAGCCTGGCACGTTTTGGGATCGGGCTGTAAGTCGATGTACTCAGGATACGTAACGTCAGCATGCTGTTGTATTGGCTATTAATGATAGTTTTTAATCGCTCTGAATGAACAACGTTGGGCTTTAATGATTTAAAAATGAAAATAATGAAATACTTTTTGAAATAATGAATATTTTCGGCGGTGGCTCTGACGGCATGCGGGCGGTGGACGGGAAACTCATACCTCAATTCTCATGGCCTAACCCTAATCCTGACCCTAACCCTAATCCTAGTAACCCTAACCCTAACCCTTGTTTACTTGAGATAACGCTAAAAATTAAAAAACTGCCGGCATTTAGGAAATGAAGACCGGTGCCCGGCAGCCGTCAGATATATGCGGCTGCTCGGGCATATAGCCACTCTGAATTCGTGATTCACTTGATTAATGTGCCGACCCTTAATTACGAATTAGGACTAGGACTAGGAGTTTATTGAGGTTGTATATACAATTGCGGTAGATTGTATGCATGGAACATGTAGTGCTTCAATGTAGTATATATGGGACAGAATTATTCGGTCTACAGTTCGCCTAGACCGAATAATTCTGTCCCATATATTGATATAACCTTTTTTATATTTTGGTGAGGGTTATTGGGACAGAACGGGGTTCATTGAAATTTCGTGAGATCGCATGCAAAATGCATGCGCTGCGAATGCGTCCCGTACGTCGCTATTGGCGCGAAAAAAAACCTACCGTTCCCTTCTACATGGCTTTATACCTTGCTACTGATATGTGTATACATTCACTTCAATCGTTATTCACTTCTTAAAAGATTGTTTTTCAGAAACCCCGCTTCATTTAACTTTGATTACGTTCGCCATTTACAAACAATCAGACCAATCAGAGCGAGTCTTACAATAGCCCCTGGTTCTCGCTTGTATCTGTGGCGCTGCAGGAGGGCTGATAGACCTGCTCTGATTGTTTGTAAATGGCGAACGTAATTGTAATACTAAAGTTAAATGAAGCAGGGTTTCTGAAAAACAATCTTTTAAGAAGTGAATAACGATTGAAGTGAATGTATACACATATCAGTAGCAAGGTAAAGCCATGTAGAAGGGAACGGTAGGTTTTTTTTCGTGCAAATAGCGGCGTACGGGATGCATTCGCAGCGCATGCATTTTGCATGCGATTTCACACAATTTTAATGAACCCCGTTCTGTCCCAATAACCCTCACCAAAATATAAAAAAGGTTATATGGGACAGAATTATTCGGTCTACGCTAAAGTCTGCCTGGTACTGGTAGCTGATTCGTGGATTGATTAGCAGCAGTTACACCTTTATTTTGTACATGTAGGCCTACTATTGACGTATTGTTTGTATGTTGAGGTGTTAAATAACTGACACTGTATCTATGTATCTGTTCAGCAAGCACAGACTCCATCAGTACCCAAGGAAGAGGAGAAGCCGATCAAGGTTGACAAGTGGGATGGAAATGCTGTTAAAAATGCTCTCGACGATGCAGCAAAAAAGGTGAACCACTATGGCACACCGCGCCACCACCAACATAATACTACCAGCGTTTCACTACCAGTAGTATATATTGGACAACGTTGTTCCTATGACATTGTATACACAATGTCAGTGGTCCTGCCGCTTGCATAAATCGAGTTTCACCTGTACTGCAGTGAACAGGGACATCAACAATACCGTCGATAAGAGATCGACGCTGTTCGAGCTGCGTAGACAACTGTGTTGTAATTGTTGGGTCAAAATACGTCGATATACATTGCATCTATTAAACTGAAAATGTTTGCTTGTTTTTTGTTTTGTTTTGTATTGACATAATATCAGATTTTTTTATTTTTTTTATAAATTTTGATTTATTTTTTTGAAAATGGAGGGAAAAAAAGGGTCGCCCCTATTTGCTAGGTAGGGTCGGGTTCTCGGAAACATCTTTTTTTTTAGGCCTAACCACCACTCACTATTACCACTACTGTTAGAAACCAGCACCACTGCCAGTGCCACCTCCTCTAGCTTGAGGGCAATTGTCACCATCAAAAAGAATAATTGTAATTAAATTCCGATCACCGACTTGATTTTGACATTTTCGGCAATGGGTGGGTAATAGTGTCTTTAAGTTCCAACAAGAAACCCCGAAAATAAAGCTCACATCAGAATTGATTAGTCTCTGTACAGTAATAGATTGTCTGTGTATATACTCATCGCTAACCTTGTAGCCCCATGACATTGAATAATATGCTAGTCCAATATACAAGGGTTAGTGGCAGTGGACATATATGCTCAGTAGCTAAGCCAAGTCTCTATTTCAAATCTCTTGTACAACAATATTATACTACAAGTATTATATAGTGGAGTTTGGGATGATACTAGACTGAATAATTATGTCCCAGATAACCTTTTTCATATTTTGGTGAGGGTTATTGGTAACCAGTATAACGCATCCAAAATATAAAACATCTGGGACAGAATTATTCGGTCTAGGATGATACATTCTGCAGAGACAGCACATGTCTCTACATCACACATCTGTGTATTGTGTAACCACCCTGTACATACAGGGTGCGAAATTAATAAGAGTCCGGAGTCAAATACTCCCTGGTTTACTGTCGTACTCCCTGATTTGACATATGCAGGAGTCCGTGTGACTCCCTGATAATTCTGCTATACTATACTAACTAGTTCGTTCCAGAGCACGGCCTCGCAGAATTACCGTATTTTTCCAGCAAATGTCTAAAGAAAATTTGGCAGACGTGTAACCGCATGAATTTTCAAAATAAGCATGTGTTATTGTTAATATTTTTAATTTTGAACTTCAGACTGCGGACTCCATCATTTTTCTACGGACTACCTCTTTATGAGGGTAGGAAGTCCGTTGGACTCCCATGTTCAAAAGTTAATTTCTACCCCTGTCAAAGATTATCTCTGTGTATGTATGTTCTAGGTAATCATGCAGAAGCTTGGATATCTGGAGGATCATTCGTTGATGGATGGCCGGCTAGCCATCTCCTTCACAGCATGTCTTCTTGCCGGTATTGCTCTAATCTGGGACCACCTCCACCCATTCCCAGAGTCGAGACCCGTGCTTATATTCTGTGTTGTCAGATATCCTTTGATAATCAATCAAAAACTTTATTATTATTAATTATATGATAATTATTCAAAAGGTAATGAGTATGTGGTGTGGCGCAAAAACAACCACTGATTTTTATGTGGTATATCGTGCAAAACTATTCCATGAAATAATTAAAGGACTTTGTTCTGTTATTCCATGTTGGTATCCATTTAGTCATGATGGGTGTTCAACCATTAGTTAACCATTATTGGCGGGTTTAGTTTCTTAACTAGGCTTACTTATTTCATTTCATCATGATGGGTGTTAAAACAGTAGCCCATTAAACTGTTTAACCTTCACATAAATTGTAAACTGTTAATTTACTTGCTTAACTATGCACACCTATTTCACCAGGATGGCTGTTAAAATTGTAGCCTGTTATACTGTGTATGCAGTATATGCCTGTTTTATGTAAACTGTCACGTAATGTTGATTCAGTTCCTTAACTAGGCTTACCTATTTCGTCATGATGGCCGTGCTGACTGTCTACGTACAGTTTAGAGAGCGGGGATGCTTCATGGTGGCACTAGACAGAGATACTGCAGGAGTGGACCCAGATAATCTCTGGCGATTAAGATCTTTCATTCACAGGTGCGATCTTCATACACCACAGTGTATCGTGGTACCATGTCAGTACAGCCAGGTTCAAAATTTTTTATCATGACGCGAGGATTACACAAATGCGTGTCATTCGTGTTATCCTGATGACATGGTTGGCCTGGCTTCATCTACTTACAAATATGCAAGCACTGCATGGTTAAACCTAACGACAACCGTTGTTAGCCCTATTAATGGCAAAATGTATTGCGACTGGTAATGGTTACTATCAAAATCATGTAACACTTACATCTCACAATGTAAATTCATTCTACTTAATTTAACACGTCTCTTGTGTGAAATAGAAACTGACTGCTACATTTACGAGTCAATTCACCACAGGAAACCCCCTGCCTTCTCTCCTCCCCGAGAGAAAATTCATAGGTAATAATTTTTCTTGCTTGTGCTTTTTCAGATACGACGATATATACAATTTAACAATGATATTCGAGGATGGACAGACACAAAAGGTGAGAGAGGCGAGCATATCTAAATCTGTGGCTGCCTGGTACGACGAAAATGGAACGTTGGTGTGGGAGCTGTTTGAACCGGAGATCGTGAAACTTCACAACAGCCTTGTGGCCGAGAAGAAGGAGAAATGATGTCCATAGTAGTACTCTTTTAGACATTGGTGTTGGAAATCATCAGGTGAAAGTGGAAACAGTACCAGTGACAGTTTGTCATTCTCAGAGTTTGGCAGTCTCATCTATTATATACATACAGGCTTCAGATTGTCACTGTGGTGTTCAGTGTTTTCAGAATGGAGCTGGGAGAAAAGGAGGTAATGTGTTGAGAAAGTTTGCAATGCAATTCAAATTAGAAGACCAAACTAAATGTTAAGTCGGTATAGTGAGACGATAATGTTCAGAACAGGAAATATTCTATTTCAGTACATCTTGGAAGTCATGTCTTGTATATTACACATCTGGTAAAGAGTAAATATATTGCGCATTTTTGAAATACAGGTTGCATTTTAATTTTTTTCTGTCTGCTGTGAATAAGCATAAATAATTCTTTCGAGTAACACAAACTGTATAGTGCTAACTAGTGTTATATGTGCATTAATTAGGATGATTGGCTTTATACATGCATTTGGCAAACTTTTCCTTTGATCCATTACGTGAAATAAACATTTGACTGACACCAGTTTCTTAAAAAATACAGTTTTGGTGCATTTTAAAAATTGAGACTTTACTCATGAGTATGTCATTATTTATATTTACTACGATGGCCCAGCAGAGGCCACCGTATTAGCCTTCTTCATAATACCAGAACTCATTAGTTATTAAAGCTATGAAAGGCATAATAAGGGGAACTTTCAATCGCCTGTTCCTGGATAACCAAACCTACAATGTACAATGTGCAGTATCAGCAAAATAGAATGTATATCTCCTTATTATATAATACATGTTTATTTATAGAACCTTCCTTAATATATAATGTGCTTGTGTAAACACCAGTTACATCTGTGTCAGCCCCACGTGTCTGTTCCCCAACCCTGAATCGCGACTAGTTTATCCTCTCTGTCCCTAGATGGCGCACCTGCAGCACCTTCACGCCTCCCTTCCTCCATCCGTTCGTCGAGCCGCGCAGCTTTACCGGGTAATCGTGGTCTCTCGTCGCCTGTCACTTCCAAACGTTTGTTGTCGTCAGCGTGGCTTGCTGAGCGTCCGGCGACGTCAGCACATTGTTCACTCTGTGCTCCGTTGCCCGTCGATTCGTCCGCTGCGGACAAACCCAGCAGAGGAAGCTGAATCTCGTCGTGAAAGGGGTCGTCGCCAGCATGGGTTCGTTTCTGCGGCGGTCGACTCCGCAGCTTCTCGCGTCGTTTTGGCATCGCCGTCGCCGCCGCCACCGGCAGGGGAGGCGGAACAATCCCCGCGCTCACGTCGTAGTAAACAACGAGGGAGTCCGGCGCGACAATCGCCATGGTGATGCTGAAAACAGCGGGTGAATCGCGTGCAAATACAATGATGGAAGAGTTTTATCTGCACAGCTAGCCGGCAATGGAACAGCCGAAACATAATCCATGCACTAAGCATTTGTATCTAAGCATGGAATCACTTAGTGCAGTCTGGGATTAATGATTCATATAATAACAACAACTATAATAATAATAATAACAATTATCATTATTATTATTATATACGTATTATATATGTAACGATAGATGTGATGTACGTGGTATATGTACAGATGTAGATGTGAGTTGAAGAACACAGAATTTAAACTCTACATATCAGTATTGGTTAGAACTTAGATGCACCTGAGAGATCCCAGCTGTATGGCTACCAGGAAATGTCTATATGCATACCAGCTATTAGTCTCCCCAAGTAGATGACTGCAGTCGTGTAGCATGACATCTAAATCCTTGAATGAGGTTAGGGTATCAGATGAAACAGGGACTACAATTTGTTGGGGCGCATTACCTGCACGTACTTGGCCAGAAAATACGACAATTTTTCTATTTAGTACGTGCCACGTGACGCGCCTCCATCCCTTCACTGAAAAAATAGAAATAAATTATTACCAAATACGTGTATTGCAAAGTTCTGTTTGTTATATGTCAGAAAGGGAAAGTAAATTTCTATGCTCAAACCACATATTTGTAGTTCACATTATTATATTCCAACAATAGAAATTTGAATGGCGGGCATTCATATTCATTGTTGATATGTTTTCTGGGTCAGTAAGACTATGTAAAATTCAATTATTATGCTAAATTTGTTTGTGACGAACACTATTACAATTAGCTATCAATTTCTTTGTATTCTCCAGTTCACTTCTAATGAAAAATGGCTCTATATGCCATGTGCTGTGAGTTGAGAACAGAAATTCACAATGATAAATGTTTTTTTTAGCAAGCAATTGCTATTAATTCCTACCTTCACATAGATCAATATAGACGTTTTCGGCTATCCTTAATGTATTAGTACACGTGATACCATCCTTATACAGTGAATCCACCTAAAAATAAAAATGTATACCTCAATCTCACAGGATACCTACCTATAACTACTAAACTAGTAGCCTATCAGTACACACTTACAGCGACACTCACAGAATCACATATTGTACATCTTATTGAAGTATTCTTACTCTCTTAGTTACAATTAACACACTTTATGAAGTTACCTACACTACAGGCTACATTACCGGCATCTCCTTTTGTTTTGTGTACCGTGTAGGTACAGTACGTGTACTACGTCATAGGTAAACCGTAATGTATCATATCATGTACTGCATAACCATAATCATAATGTAGTCAGTAGTGTATCAAATTCAAATTCAAATTCAAATAAAGTTTATTGCACAGATAATTGCAGACCATACAGGCAAATAGGTTACAAACTACAATAAAACAAGTTCCTAGGCTAATAAAAACGAGAGAAACGATGTGTCTTATACTACTTGACATGACTGCATGACCCATGGTACATAATATATTTTTTATTTAACATAATTTAACATTCTATTCTAACCAAAAAACAACACTTCAAACTAGTGTAATAAAATTAAAACTCCTAAACTACGACAAAGATCATTATAAGCTCTGACTATGATAACGAACAAGATTCATGTGAATAGACTATCGCGGTAAGTATCGCGTGGTATCGGTTGCCGCAGATAGTAACGTTTGGTATCGGAAACTGCAGGCGCCCTGAGTACAGATGTAGGAATAGTAAAGCCCAACTGTTGGGCTAAACCTCTCTGTGTTTAGCTTGGGATATATGGTGTGATTTGATTTATTATTTGCATATCTCACCAATTATGTTTTTGGTGGATCTTGTCGTAGCTTGAATTAATCTTTGATAAACTTTGAGAGTTCGAGGAGATCGGCCATATGATTTGTGATGAATAACCATTTTATGGATGATTTACCTAGGAATGTAAAGTGTATAAATTTGTCTTCTATCTTTTTTCTGATGTGGTTGGTGGCAGTGCAGTCATAGAGTAGATGGAGTTCGTCATCTATTGACCGGTTATTGCAACAGAATCTAAGATTAGCAGGGATGGATTGGTGACAGCCTTGTTCAATCCTTAGGTTGTGATCGCTAAGTCTTAGTTTAGTTAAAGTGATTACGTCACCGTAAATGGTAAAAATAAAAAAAATATTTCCACTTTTCGCAAAATATAAGTCATTCTGTTCACTTTTTATGGTTAAATTGCTGCATTATACTTCCTATTTTACTATATTGTTCGATGTGAACATACACCCGTGACTCATACATAGCCCATAGCAAGCAATTAATGTCAGGAACATAATATCAAATCGTCCAGGTTTTGTGGATTTTTAACTAGTTGAGAAACAATCTTATCAAGTAAGAATTTGACGAGACGTATAGTCCCGTTAGTTCTTACTTTTAATGTAAAAAAATGGCAACAAAAATTTTACAAATTTTACCATAGAAAATTCGTGACGTAGTCAATTTAATGCTCTTCTTGCTTGTTTGGAATATAAATTTAATAGGCATGGTTCAGGTTCATATTTTGTTTTAAGTTGTCTATAACATCTTAGTTTGTTTGACCCTCCTTTTTTTCTGTTGCCATCATTCAGGTCGTTAAAGAACATGGTGGTATATTTTTTTTGCAAGTTTCTCTTTATGTTGAGTATGCTTTCATGTAGTTTTGATTGTAATTGCACTTCCAGATTGTGTTTTTTGCCATAAGTTCTAAATAAGTATGGTGCTATTTTTGACCAATTTGTAAAAGTCTTAGTAATTAATGCCTTCACGAATGTCGTTGTAGAATTGAATAGATTCCTTCAGGAGGGGGCTAGGACTTGTGAATTTTTCATGGGGCCAGAATTTTGCCACTTGAAGAACTATATTGTGTAACAAGGGAAACATTCCTAGCTCAGATTTGGCGGCTACATTGGAAGTTTTAGTTCTGACGCCCAATACCCATTTGCAAAATTTGTTCAGAATCGTTTCAAATGGGAAGCGGTTCCATAGGCTGAACAGGTTTTGTATATTTGATTGGGCATGAGTATCTGATTCCAATTTGATAATTTTGGAGATGAAGTCTGGACCCCAAATTTCACAGGCATGTAGGGTTACGGGGGATATCACAGAGTGGAACAGCGTAATGTACGTTTTGACCGGAGTTTCGTAGTTAAAGATAGAGCATCTTAGACTGTGCATTGCTTTTAGTGCCTTTTTTTTCCAAGTTCCTCGACACCAAATTTTGAGTTACCATTGTGGTATAGGTGGAACCCTAGGTATTTGTAGTGCGGTCTAGAGTTTAGAGTGCTGGAGCCGTATTTGAATTTTTATTTGTGAACGTTTAAGTGGCTGTTGCTAAAGGTGACAGTCTCACTTTTGCTATGATTAAGCTTTAGTTTCCAGGTGTCGCAATACTGTTTTAAGTCGTTAAGAGAATTCTCGCGACCCGTTTCAGTCTTGCTGAATAGTACGAGGTCATCAGCATACATGAGACATTTGATTGGTTCTGACATAATTTTAGGATATAGGCCTACCCTAGCTCTAGTACTATAGCTCGCGGATCGCTGCCGCAGGCCGCTGCCGCCATAGCCAGCGATCCGCGGGCTATAGTACTAGAGCTAGGCCTACTCCATTTTTAAGTGAGTTCGGCATATCATTTACGTATCAAACGTTACATATCACTCTTTTATTAAAAAAAAACCACTAAATAATTATCGCTACGAGTTACAGGGCCTATAGTCACATATACTATAGACTACTTATGGCATCAAAAGTATAATATCCTTACTATTGGGTGCCTTTGGTGCATATTTTTAGTAAATTTACTAGATTTTTGCATTTTTGTGAGCTACATCACTTACTGGGGGCTGACATATTTAATTACGCTGTGACTATTCCGCCCCCTCGTGTCGTAAAGAAGCAAAATGGCGGGTGAAGAAGACGAAGTTGATATTGTTGGCGATTTTCAGCTTGAAATAGGGTTCGTATTGTTTTGTGTCACTAAGATAAATGCTCATGTATCGTCTATCGTAGTAAATGCATGAGTATAAGCAGCATGTAAAAGTAAATAGTCGACTGTGTCAGGGTATGAGTAGGGTCTTCTAATCAGTTCGTCACTCGGATTCTTCATTCCAGACGCTACGGCCTACGCATACGCTCTCGCTATGCATTTGATTTGGATTAATTGATTGATAAATCTGTCTCAAGGAACTGCGCTTCGTGAAAGAATACTGTTACAGACGCATTGCTTATTTGGGTATTGGTAATCTTGAATAAACAATTAGAAACATACTAACCAACCTAATCATGAGCCCGAGGCAATACCAATGTCATTATGTCATTTAGGGCTCTATGATACCAGTTTCCAAGTTCCCCACTTCCTGGCAACCTACTAGTACTAGTCTGCGAGAGTGTTACTGTTAGTTTCTACCAATACTAGGAACAGGGGTGTTGTTAAAGAGAATATCCTATCTGACAGAGACTCCCTGCTATTCGGTAGCATAAATAATAACACATGTAATTTCTGTTATATGTCTGGAAATTGTGCTTCTGGGGTGGGGGGGGGGTCACTCCATATAATATATATATTGTATGGATGTATGTGCTGTGGTTGAGACCCCTATTTTTACCTCTATATTTCCGCACTAGAGACTCCCTTTTTCACATATTTCCTGTCTCGGAGCATAGGTCCAAGAGTCCAAGGAGACCCATGAGTTCTCATGAATTGGTCCCTTGGCAAGTTTTCTGTATTCTGGGGATTCCGGCCCCGTTCCAATGCCTGCAAGGCCATAATGCTGCCGTGGCTGCGGAGAGCGTGTCACTGCCTTTTCTTATTTTATTCAATTTTTTCAATAATAAAACAACAAAAAGCAGCGGCATGTACGTGCACGGGACACACATACCACGGCAGCACCGCACTCACGGCGCATGTACTATAATTTTATATACTGTACCATGGCTGGTTAGCGCTTGAGATCGCCGTTTCGAATTCTGGAGACTTCTTTTTCAAGCATATCCTAGTTCTGGATACCCCCTCTTGCAAACGTGGCCAGTTCCGGAGACCCCCTCTTGCCAACATGACTAGTTCTGGAGACCCCCTCTTGCAAACATACATGTCCAGTTCCGGAGCATCATGCTTTCCAGCAAACCCTGGTTCCGCAGACCCCCATGTTGATGTGCTGAGTTAGTACCGGAGCCCTCAATTCCATTTCTCAACTGGCACATACCTACCCTATTGTGTAGGGAGTGCCCCTGTCCGGGATTGTGCTGTTGATGAAAGCCTATGGCTATGACATTGAATGGCTAATCACACAATACACAAGTTTTGCTTTGGGACATCAGTTAAATATTGCTTCCTTTACAGAACATTTTCAGGTGCAGCTGGGGATATTCTTAGTGAGGTACCGTTAGAAACAGCCAAACTTCTTCCCGAGTTTAGCCAGCATCCGTGGGCGCTAGAGACATCTGATTCTGAGGTAATGCAGGAATAGGTAACATTAAAGGTATATTATCTCAACATTGACCGGCCGGAGGTTTTTTCAATCGTAGATTTAACAGTATGAAATAAAGTACAAGTTATGTGTCTTGTTTCTTAAAAACAACCTGCTAAAGTTTGACTTGTCCGCAGAGTTATCAGTATAAACTGGTATCGCCAACGTTGATGAATGCAAACTATATGTATGTATTTGTCAGTATTCAAGAGGTAAAAACCAGTTGGTGATGAAATGTCGTGGGATGGCATAATGCAGGTTAAGAAAAGTGTTTAATTTCATGTTATGGGGATCTTGTACTGTCATGATTACGTGCTTATGTAGAATGTTTATCAGTGTCAATAGATATTACTTTGCCACAGTTGATAGAATGTGTTTTTTGTAGAACTTGGTAGTGGAAGCTGGTATAGAGGAAAAAGAGAAGCGTACATTTTCAGTACGTGGGAAATATAAGAGGTAAGGGAGGTATATTTTTTTTAATGAAAATTGTTTCTGGTCTTTACATATTACCCTTGTATAAATGCACATTTTAAATTGCAAATATTACATGGCATGTAAGTCTTTACCCTTGTGTTAGTAAAATTTCTGCTTAACGAAAGGTAATGTCTCGTGCTTTTTTGATGACTTATTTTTTATCGAGTTATTAGAACCATATTACAGTCATGAATCATGATCCATACAATAAATGTTATCCCTGTTCCTATTGTCCATCAGCTCTGGAAATAAAGGCAGTTCCTCCCTTACTCATGGCAGTACGTTAAGGGGTTCATGGACAGCTCAGGAAAAACATCTTTTCCTGAAAGGAATGGAAAATTTTGGAAGAAGTTGGTCAAAAATCTCACAGATGATGGGATCAAGAACAACGCTGCAAGTGAAGAATTACGCCAATCAACATTTCAAGGGAAAGGTGAGGTCAACTACCTTAAGGGACAGCAATTTACAAATTCTAGCGCAAATCTTGTGTCTAGTCACTAAATATCCACTGTATTTATTCAAATTCCGTTGGTAATTGAGAGAGTCTTACATAGTAAAACCTGTATTAGCAGATTATACCTGAATATAGAATCGACAGCTGTGTATAAAGGACACGTTGCAAATCCGTTGAGTGACCTTTACACACATCTCTAGCTGTACACTGTTTCATGTTTATTTTGTGTTTCTTGTGCACGAGCGTTTCATCGTCGGCTCATTCCAGGAACGAAAGGGCGACGTGTCCTCGAGCAAGCCGGTGACGGCGGTCGCCGCTCCCTCCGTCACCGTCGCGCCGGGAGAAGTCCTCATCATGACGCGCGTAGAAGACTCCGACGGTGAGGTCGACATTGAGAGCGAACCCGCGCACGGCGACGACATCGCCGTCGACCCGGGCGGAGCCGGGAACGCCAGCGCCCTCCACGTGCGCGAGGCGGCGGCGTCGTCGCCGCGCGTCGGAGTGAGCCGTTACGCAAGCGTCGATCCAAACCTCGTGAGCAGTTTCCGCCGCCACCGGCCCGTCGTCGCGGCGACGGCATGCTGCGCGACGACGTTTGTGGGCGGCGTCGCCACGACGACGACGACGAGCCTCGACGATGCCGACCTTGGCAACATCTGTCGACTCGAGGTCGGCGAGAGAGAGACGTACAGCGAGGACGTCGGCGAGCAAGAGACGTACAGCGAGGACGTCGGCGAGCGAGAGACGTACGGAAAGGAAGTGGCTAGATGCGCGACTTTCGCAGTAGTATCCGGAGAAGGTGAAGGGGAGGAGGTGGGCGAGCGAGGGACGTTCACAGAGAGGGTCGGTGAATGTGAGACCTTCCCAGAACAGGTAGAAGTGAGAGAGACTTTTGCAGAGGCGGTGGAGGTGGAGGAAACCTTCGCAGAGCAGGTGGAGGTGGGGGACACCTTCGTGGAGGAGGTGGGGGACACCTTCGTGGAGGAGGTGGAGGTGAGGGACACCTACGAGGAGGATGACAGAGACGTGTCCGCTTGCATTCTAGATGAGTTGATCGCGCAGGCGACTGGGGACGAGAGTGAGAGCTCGGAACACGACGCCGCGACCGCAACTCGCCGACAAACTTACCTTCCTGTGATCCCGGCGTTATGGCCGACTGAGCGGCGAAGCGTCAACGCTCACGCGTGTGAGAGAGACGGTGTTGTCGTGGCGGGCGCGCCGCACAACGCGAGGGAAATCTGTGACGGAGGCAGCGATCGCAGCACGCACACAGACGCGATTCTCACAACAGCAGCAGACAACGCACATGATTGCAGCGTGAGAGCTTCGACTGTCAATTCTGGGGCCGAGTTGTCGTCGTCTAACCAGTCTGCAAGTTCCGGAAGGAACTCTGCGACGGAACTCGGCTTTTCCGCGTCGCAGCTCTCTGCCGAGGCTCTCGCCGACTTGCTGACGACGGAGATCGAGGACGCGGGTGTCTCCACATCTCGACGCCGCGACGAGGTCGGCACGGCGACCGCCGGCGACCGCGCGCGTGTAAACGTAATCTCTCAGCGAAGGGCTTCGCTTCTCGACGTCATCATCATGAGCGCGAGCAGCCGGGGAAGCTGCGCTCCCGCCGCGACGCCGCACGATGGCGAACGCGTCGGTTGTCACGATGAGCTAGATCTCCGCTTGTCTTCGTGCGAACAGCACCGTGACGACGGCGGGCCACGTCGGACGTCCGACCCCGGTGCGCTCGCGGCGGCGGCGGCGGCGCGCGCGACAGGAGAGGTCTCCTTCGAGGAGGATTCACCCGGCTCAACGACGAATGTGATATCGGAAACCCGTCCGCACCGCGGCGACGCGAGCTCTGACTGCGGGGATAACAGACTGCGGCCCGCCGGCGCCCCCCTGCGGCGGGAACTCTCCTCCGCGGAAAGCGTCCCCGACCGGCTGCCGCGTGAATTCGACGACGCCCCGTATGGTGACCCCGAGAGTCGCGAAATGATCTTATTGGACGACGACGCCGCGGCGGATGCGGAGATGGACACGAGCGCGGAGAGCGCGACCTCTGAACCCGAGTGCACGGACGCACACATTGTATTGGCGCCCCCTACTGAGGAATTGTTCCTTGACAGGGACAGGATAGTGGAGAGTGAGAGGGATGCATGCTTCGAGTTCTTCCAGGGAAAGGGATCTAAGACTCCTGATCGCTACATGAAGATTAGAAATTTCATCTTGGATCAGTGGTATTAATTTCATTTGATTGACTTTAAAATATCGATTAGTAAGGTGTGAACGTTGTCCTGTGAGTTGGTTCTTACTTAGTACGTGTAGGAATTACACTGTTGGCGTCCTATTTTAAGGATCTGTATGCTATTGTTTACCCATCACTTTTATCTAGGGTGCTCACCTGAGTTGATAGTGGCATCAACAGTTTACACAACAAATTCAGCATCTGTTACTAGTTTTGCAATCATTTCTTAATGCTGCTTTTTAGCACAGCTGCATTGGCATCATCTCAAGGGAGTCTCTTAATATAATATTTATTAGAACTTAGAAGCTTTACAATGTTTCAGAGCTTTGTGAAACGAATAACTTGTGATTGCAGTTTTGTGATATCTTTTAGGGACAAGTCTAAGCCTAAGTATCTGAACAAGACCTCCCTGCGTACGGGGTTGAAAAGCTGTGGAGACGTGAACAGTGTTGGTCGAATTCACGAGTACTTGGAGGCAATCGGAGCTATAAACTTTGGATGTCGTAAGTTATATATAAACTTGGGATATCGTCAGTGAATACATAGTAGTTATGACAGACACACCCTGGTAAAGTTGTAGCCACAGTTGTTAATATTTGTGTTTATGTCCAAATGTCTTTTAAGGTAGAGTGGAATTGATTGAGTAGAACAGTTTATTTTTCATTTTCAATATAATATACGACGTATGTATATAGGTGTATATAACAATATATTAATGAAATGCTATATATATATATATATATATATATATATCGGTCAGGGGTGAATAATGACAATTTGTCATTATTCACCCTTGATTTAGGTGTTTGAATATATGGTTTACATTTCTGAAGAGAGATCAAACTTAAGACCATAACTAATTTCAACAATTTTTTATCAGCACAAGTGAAACGGAATCGTGCCTCCGGTAGTGGGAATCTCAAGCGGAAGGGAAAGCCGAGCGAGGAGGAGATGAAGGCGCTGGTGGCAGCTCGGAAGGACACCATGCGGCCACGGCGGCGCCGGGCCCCGGGCGTGTACGGAGGCTGGCTGGGTCAGAACGGTGTGGAAGGTGTCACTATACAGGTTCGTAATCATAACCAGAGATGATCTCCTCCTTCACTCTGCTGGGGTGTTATGCTTTCTGATATGTACTTACAGTTATATATCGGCGATATACTATAACAGGACCAGCGTTCCTCTTGCTTAATGTTATGCAGTCGTGGTTATGTTTGTTTTAGATTCCAGCCATATCTATATAGATATGGAGGAATGTGGAGCTATGTCAAAATTGTACAATGTTAGAGGAATATCTCTACTTGCTAATAGATTCATTTAATATTATGCATTTCTGATATAGTATAGTATATTCATACTATGGAAGGCCCACCTCTAGTACCATTTAGTCTACTCAATAGAGGTGACTGTAATACGACCACTGCCGGTGGGCGAAACATGTTATGAGGGGTGCGAAAGGGATGGAAGCAACCGGTAACCTACCAGAAATTTGGCTAGTTAATATGCATTCTGGGAGCCTCACTTTCGTGCACAACATTTTCGTTTCCGTATATGATCGCGTAATAACCGCGGTCGTCTATAAGCCGCACCTCAATTTGAATCGGGTAACCAAGTATTGCGCCTAGTATATTTCCCCTGACGGTATGGCGCACTTATAAACCGCAGAGCAAATACAGGGTTGAAATCTGAGGCCAAATTTGCGGTTATTAAAACGATCATTGCGAGAATTTTGCTCAGAAAATCTAAATATAGCTGAATATAGTCTCACCTGACAGCGAAAATATCACTGATTACACCAACATTCAAAACACCAATATTTTATGCAGTTATAGCATAGAAAAATTGATTTGACCACATCATACCAGCAATACATTTTTTCAAGTCACTACTTTCAAAAATCACAAATGGCGTCTCAAACAAGCGAACATAATTAAAACAAAGGGGCATCTATTTGTGTGTGATAAGTATTCTCGCTGGCGGTACGCAACGAGGATTTGATCCATTTCTCTCTCCGTCTTCGTTATAGTCCCTAGGACTTTTGAAGACTAATATTTATGAGGTTACAACTTACACTCTTGTTTGTGTTACGCTACTGTGCACCTCTGTGTTTACCAAAATAATCTGACCAAAAATATCTCCGATGCGATTTTTGCATTACTGTACCCTTGTTGACGTCTCGCGGTACCGCGAGAAAGTGCGAGACATGACAGCGAAAATCAACAAGAGAACGCAAAATTGTAATCGTGCATGATTTTGTCTTTGCATGCGGTTCTAAGACATTTTATTGTTATTTCAAACAATTACTGTTACTCAAACAACAACGGTAGGCATCATGAGAGTGAGAATAAACACTAAAAAACGCTGAAAACAACTCGCAATGATCGCTTTAAGCGAGTATATACGGTAGTCCAGCAATTCAACCGGGGTGGTCACTCAAAGGCTATGCCTTACTATATATTATTCATAATATAAGATTTGCGAACAGTATCTGTGAGTTGCCGTGGTTACGTAGACACTCATGCCTCTGTTTCCTCATCTTTCTTTCAGCATAATGACGATGACTCCGATGAGTACGAGGTCCTGCCAGTACGAGCCAAGCGTAACCGCTCCAGCAAGTACGACCCATTCAAGCTTGTTCCCCTCGAAGACTTCTCTGCCATCAACCCGGTAAGAAAGCTTCACTCAATTGCGTGGAAGATTACTTTAGGCCATAATAAAAATATTGTTTGTTTGCCCTCAACCGACCGACCCGCCAAAAAGGGGCTTTTTTTTCTTTTCTTTCTTTAAAATTGTATCACTGTACATTATATAAATCTGTAGGCAATACATTATATGTACCAAGCAAAATAAACATTCAACATCTCCACACAAGCACACCAGAGCATGTAGACACCATGCTGAATTTGTAAAAAGACCCATTAAAAAAAACGATCTCTCACTGCGTGGAAGATTACTTTAGTTATCACCATCTAACTGTACTGTGAGACCGTCTAATGCAATGTCTGTTAAAATTCGTAATACGATATGTGAGTAAAGTCTGTTGTAACATTGACATATATTGACATTGACAGTTCGTTCTATGTTCAATCCGTTATGATAAATTATAATTAAAAACAAAACAAAATATATATATATATGTGTATGTATAAGAAGATTTTGCATTTCCTGAAGTCCTCTGTTATGTGCTAGCAAAGCATAATCAGTATCAGCATTTGAAAATTGTTAATTTGTAATGTCAGCTTCTGATTTCTGTACACGATTTATCCCGTTTTTCTTCACGTTATTCGTCTTGTCACCACCCATTGTCTGCCACGTCTTCGCTGTAGCATGTTCTTCTGCAGTCTTTGCTGTTAGATCGTCACTCGTCGCCCGGGTTCATGCGGACTCTGTGTTTCGGCAGGCTCCCTTCATGGTACAGGTGGACACGGCAGCGATGCTCGTTATCGACATTCACGCTCACATATCCGGCAACGAGGTCATCGGTCTGCTAGGAGGAATCTACTCGCCGGAGGAGAAGGCCTTGCAGGTGGCGCTGTCGGAGCCCTGCAACAGCCTCAGCACGGGCATGCAGTGCGAGATGGATCCAGGTGAGTGTATCCCCGCTGTGTCGGCGCAAGAAACGAGTCCTCGGTGAGAATGTGGGTCGTTAATCGATCTTCATTCGTAGAGGAACATACGTGAAGAGCAGCAGTGAGGTTTTCTGTGCTTGAGCGAAGTTAAGTGCAGTTCAGAAGAAGGGGAAAACCTCTTTATTTTGTTTGGCTTTACATGTGGTTCGTTTGCGCAGTGTCACAGACTCTTGCGTGTGAGAGAATCAGTCAGCAAGGCTACAAGGTGGTCGGATGGTACCACTCCCATCCTACATTCGCCCCGAGCCCCTCTCTACGGGACATCGAGACGCAGTGGAAGTTTCAGGTACATTTTCCTTACCATTCATTCTGTTAGTATTCGTGTAAATGTGATGTGCATCCAGATTTTCTCACCTTGCTCTCTAGATGAAAGAAAGATGTAATGTGGTCTGGGTCGTGTGTGATACCACAAATAATGTAATGACAATATGGCATGTCCACTGGCAATGAAATATAATGCCGTTGAAAGTGAAGTAACTGTAATATTAAGTGATTTCCGATGAGAGAAATAACGGTTACGTCAGTTGGTAGTGACATGAAAACATGATTGCTGAGTTCTGCTTACATGTTCTCTCACTCCTTGGATGAAGTTTGTATTTATTGAAATGGTCGGTATTTTTTTCAGGAGTGGTTTGCACAAGGCGGAAGTCCCTTCATAGGCATGATTGCAAGTCCGTACAACCCTGTAAATAAGTCTCCGCTCACGGAATTCACCTGCCTAGTTGTCAGTGACACGCTGCATGATGGATACCGTGAGTGCAATAACCAGTAGTAGTCAGCGTTTAGTTTTCAAGGTGATTTCTTTGTAAGTTTTGATGAAGGATGACCTAGTTAATTTCAGAATTTGTAATGACAACTATTAATTCTAAAGATAATTTAAAATGTGATTCATAGGCTAATGTATGCTAGTTTATGCATATTCAATTTGCAATGAGGATTGATGAAAAAAGAGGGGCAAGTCAAGAGAAGAGAATGAGATTGTCGTGCAGTCAAAAAGGGAGAGAGGGAGAGTGAAAGATGGAGATAGAATGAGAGCGAGAGAGAGAGAGTAAGATAGATAGATAGTAAGAGATAGAGATCGAGGGAGAGAGAGAGAAGGAGAGAGGGGGAGAGGAGCAGAGAATGTGTAGGGGAAGAGCGAAGAATAAGACACAGGTTGTTGATGTAATGTCGCTTGTGTTTGATGCTTTAGTTTTTGTGCACTTGTGTACAGGACTGCCATTCCGATTCGACTTTCACAAGGTCACTAGTGAACTCTCGGTGGATGACATAGCCAGCCAAGCCATTGGCATCGTACAACGATACGAGGACTGTGGGAGCCGCATTAGAATGCTGAACTACTGCCCTGGTCTCAATATGACCTATCTAGAAAAGGTATACACCTCTCTCTACCTCGAAAATAATCTTATCAGTTTCACTGACAAGTTAGAGCGCAACTCATAGCATGTTGTAATGTTCATAATCTTAACGTCATGACTAATCCAAACGTAGCAATACTAAACAGGATTTCACCAAAGCAGCCCTGGTCTCGGATTTGCTTTACAATAGGCTATCAGGCTCAATCCAATCTACTGTAGATATGATGCTGTGGCAGCTTTGTGGTCTAACCTTTTACTTGGTTTTTGCCACAGAATTGCTTGTCCTATCTTTGCTCTGTTTTGAACCCCATGTATTTGTTTATCATGTGTTACAGATGCTACGGTCGCTACAGAAGACCCTGCAGGTCGTAGAGGAGGAAGAATTTAGTGAGCACACACTACAGGCCGTGAGAGAGGTGTTCCTGCAACGATATAAGCACATGATATGACCACGAGTAACACGTAATGAGAGATAGATGAAACAATAAGGGTTGTTGATATTGTAAGGATTGTTGTTATGCTAATCTGTCTCCTTATCTTACTTCTGCCATGACGGTTGTTTGATCGGGCAGCAACGTTCCCAGTCTGTACATAGAATACGTCTACATGCGATGACTAAATGGCATTTATGGGGACCGCGCTTTAACCTGTCAGCAGCTGTGAATGTGTTCTTTTTTAAATCCTGGTTGTAGAAGTAGTGGACCAACAGGTGGCAGCACATGTTCTATCTGTTGCAGTCTCGCATGTTGGTTTCTGTTGTGGTAGTCTGGCTGGTTTTGGCCAATCCATCTCGTTTCACCCTTTGTTTGCACAGATTAGTCAATAAATGATATTGCTATTTTAATTTGCACATGTGGGAATGGATCCCATGTGTAGCAAGTATATATTCGGCCTAATTTGATATTTGATTGTAGTTAATTCTACAGTGTTGGTTGATCAATAGTTGAAGATACAAAATTTCCATTTTTTCCATCAGAATTTTTGTAGATTACTTAGGCCAGCTATTGAGGCCATGTAAGAAGAAGAATGTGAAGTAAATTTATTGATAGGGAGAAGCATTTTAAATGCAAAAGTGGGAAAACAATTCTCATTACCATATTTTCTTACATGTATACAAAATATACAACTGAAATGGGTTAAATGACATAGCACTCATGCGTTGTTAAAGTGATTACGTCACCGTAAATACTAAAAAAAAAAATCCACTCTTTCACAAAATATAAGTGATTCTGTTCACTTTTTAGGGTTAAATTGCTGCATTATACTTCATATTTTACTATATTGTTTGATGTGAACATACACTCGTGACTCATACATAGCCCATAGCAAGCAATTAATGTTATGAACACTAATATCAAATCGTCCAGGTTTTTTGGATGTTTAGCTAGTTGAGAAACAAATCTTATCAGGTAAGAATTTTATAGCAACAAAAATGTTACAAATTTTACCATAGAAAATTCGTGACGTAGTCACTTTAACATTAACATCTCATCCTTTACTGAAATTCAATAACAGTCGTTGTTAGGCATGTATATATATATATATAGATATATATATATATATATATATATATATATATATATTGTCAAATTGCAGACAACGATGTCATTCTATGTTCTGGTTGAGATAGTATATAATATATAATCTGAGCTTTTATTGCGGTGAGGTTTGATGTACAGTGAAGCCCTTATTCATTAACAAAGCGACATTCTGCCAGCAACACAAACTCTTGATGTAAGAGGAGAGTTTGGTCAGTAGCAATGGCTCGTAAAATTATATTTAGAGACATGGTAGCGAGGGTGTAGTCTGTCACAGGCGCGTATGTGTGTGTGTTATATTTTTTGTTAGCTTTAATTTATTGTTGGTAAGAGGATGTCGCACAACTGTTTGTTTTTTAAAGATTATGTGTTGTTAAATTATGCAAATGTTTAATTATGACTGCAGTACATATGCAAACAAGCTGTACTCTAAGTGCGGTTAATCAGTTACAATACCAGCCTGCATTATCTATGTAAACAGGTGAACTGGTGGCATGTGGGATGACCTATCGAGCATCTGGTTGGGGGAGAAGTAGTGGGAATGTGCTTGTGGAGAAAAATCCAGTGAGAATCGTGTTCTGGGCACGTCCTCTGGCGGGGGAAAATCTCACGGACGATTGCGACATCTGTGATGTTTTGTGTCACTGCGATCCGCTTTGAGACGTCTGTGAATCCGTATTGCTTCGTCCTGTGCGAGGCCAGGGGCGTGTACAGGGGTAGGGGGTCCGGACCCCCCCCCCTGCTCGCGCAGAAAACGCATCTGAGGGGGTCTAATTTCAAAAAAATTCTGGGGGAGGGCTAAACACGCGTGCTCGCAAGTTTGGGTTACGGTTAGACCCCCTCCTGGTCAAAATCCTGTACACGCCCCTGGAGGCGGTCCGGATGGGAACCCAGCGCATGTCTAGTGCCAGTCGAACCTAGAGCAAAGCACACATGAGAGCGGCCAGCGCTCTAACCATGCAGCCATCTCCAGCATGCAGCAGATTAGGGCCCATTGCGCAGGCCGTCTGCTTGCTTGCATTCAGCGCGAATGTCCGGGTTTTTACTACTGTCAGGATTCCGTAGTTACCCGTGCAGTTAGCTCTACTTGTGTCGAACTTCGTTCGTACGGGGAATGCGTATGTGGAGCGCTCATGCAGTCAGTGTTGCAGCGGGTACGACATGACTCAGACCCAGCCTGGTACAAACAGATATAAATACCATTACGTAATTCTGCGTAAGCATGTCTGTGTGTGTAGCGTAACGTTCTGGTATCTAACACAGCGCTGGTAGTGTATTGATTATTGCATTGTCACCAGGGATTTCACTACAACTTCCATTAGATAATAAATATAATTGCAGTATAAAGTACAGTAAGTATTTTCAGTAATTATGATGAAATAGGTTATGTTCATAGACAGATTGTATACTTATCAACATCCTCCCCAATTGAAATATAGCCAATATCGTGTTGATTTTTCTATGTTTACGTATTCTGTCAGCCCAGTTTATGGAGAGATGTGCTTTAATGATGTGTTTGTGTTAAGTATTGTGCTTGTTATTATTGTAATTATAACAGTGTATAGAATATGCTTAACCGAACAAATTATTTAATTATTTTGTCACGAACATGTGATTTATATTTAACATGACATTTATATAATTATTTTGCATTAACGCGTATATATATCAAGAGCTCATAATAAATATCTCTATTATGAGCTCTTGATATAATATATATATACGGTCACATTTTACAGGTGTTTTAAAAATACGAATACATGTACTGCATTGACGCTTATACCTTGACATGTGTTTACGAACTCCATGGCCAAAATCATTGTCCGTACAAGTTGACCTAAACCCTCACAAGAATCATGTCTGACCCCCTTTATGACATCATCGAAGGTAGAGCTGAATTTGAGCACGTGCAGAAGCCATATTGATGTGTGATTTTATGGAATCGCAGTAAGCTGACTAGTCCATCTTTTAACTGCAATACGTATTTTGTACTGATTTATAAATGTAAACTGTAAGCGATGTGTGCAATAAAGTAAATGGTTTGTATTGGACATGTTATTTATTTACTATTATTATTATTATTATTATTATCACCATCATTATTATCATTAATTCGTTGCCAATATATTGGTAAAAGTACGAGCATGAACTTACAAGCTCCTCGTTATTAGTGGATATATATAGGCCGTTAGTAGATATACGTGTACACAGTACATACACGGTATATAGATGTACATAATTTTATATACACAGTACACGCTGTGTACATCGTAATACCTAGCTGTAGCAGCCCGACCACGTTCTACGACTGTTTCACGCAATGAGAAGCGAGAAGGTAACCTGTGGTGCAACACCATACCCCCGCTAATCACGTAGGGTCAATCTTAGCTCTAGTACTATAGCCCGCGTACAGTTGCCGCAGGCCTACGGCCTATGTATTAGAGCTAGGTCAATCTATGCCCGTACAGGTGTCCGTTGCTACGTAGGTGACACTAGAGGATGCACGTGCGTTGAGAGATATTGAATTCTTGATTCACTTCGATCATCAGACATTGTGAAGACGAGAGGCAGCGATCGAGGCTGCTTTTGAATGAAGTCCATGCGTAGTGTTTCTCAAACTGAAAAGGTTGAGAACACGCGAAGTTGGGTGGGGTAAAGGGGGGGAGTGCATGATATTATTTCATTGAAATAGTGGGCCTGTAGTGAGCACATCACCAAGTAGCCCGACCAGGCTGTGCGACAGATTGTCTATACATTGTCTATATAGGGGTATATGTAAAAAATGTATGTCTAAATAGGGGTCTTGTAACCCTAGCAAGACCGTTTCTTGGAGCTAATCACCAAGAGTATTTATACATGAAAAATTTTGATCGGCAGTGACACATATTATCTAATTATAAGGCGGCAAATCTGTCTGTGAGTATGCCTACAAGCTGATTATATTTTGTTGAAATTATAAATTAAAAATAGATAGGATGTATTCAGGCGTAGATGTAGGTTTATATATATTATATGAAAATTCTTGAATCTGCGCGCGCGCGTGTGTGGGTTTGGGGACTTTAGACTTTTTTAAGACTTTAGTAATAAATACATTTCGTGTTTATTAACTATCATTTCACCATTGAAACGTTCCAAGTGCCTGTGTATGGTGTGTGCGTGTGCGTGTGCCTGGCTGCGCTTCACCGGATAAACGCATTTGAGCCGACTAAAAACGGGAAAATAAAGTGAATTTTGCCCATTTTCATCCAATGCAAAATGAGACTCGCACTTCTCCATCATGCAGGACCCTGATTGTTGAGTCGTTGTATGATTGATGAGTGATCTTCGTGATTTTGCGTTCGTTGCGATAAGATTTATATAATCAATATTTTTTATTGGGGACTTAATTGCTTAATTTAATTTTGTTATTGATGTTGTAATTGTTAGTGTTGTAGCTGTTGGTGTTGTAGCTGTCGGTGTTGTAATTGTTGGTGTTGTTATTATTATCATTGTTATTTTTGTACATTATTGTTTACGCAGTGGCTATACGCGTCCGGAACCGGTCGCCTAGCCTCCAGGCTACGCATCCGGACATCCACTCACACAGTGATCGCGTGACTTGCGTACACGCATGATTGCGCAACGGGACGCTATGCTGATTGCCGAAAATATACAATATATGCACCGCTGCCGTCTATCCTTTCATCGCCGCGCTCTCTCTCTCTCTCTCTCTCTCTCACACACACACACACACACGCGCCAATAAAGTAATGGCTTATTGGACATCTATTATACATAGATATATATGACCGATACACCATCGATGAATCATTAATTAGTTGCCAAGATAATCGGGAAAGGAGATCACATGAAACATACAACTCCTCGTTATAGGATATAAATATATATAGGCCTAGTACCGATAATACGCTGTACATCCAGTACCATAAACACGTTAAATAGAATTGTACAAATATCATACTACACAGTACACGCCGGTACATCGGCGGGTAATACCTACCTGAGCACCCCGACCACTTCTACACGTTCCACGCAATGAAAGCGAGAAGGAACCCTGGGTGGCAACACCGAAACCCCCAGCTAAGTGACACGTAGGCTCAACATAGCTCAGTAATATCGCTCCGCGACCAGTGCGGCAGCCTACGCCAGTATAAGAGCTATGCAATCTATGCCCGTACAGAGTGCACGTGGCTACGCAGGTGAACACTAGAGGAGCACGGTCGTAGAGATAATGAATCTGATTCACTGTCGGATCAATCAACATGGTGACAGACGGAGAGGCAGTAGATCGAGCTGCTGGAATGAATCCATCGTAGGTCCAAACTGAAAAGTGAGACAACGCGGCGAATTGCGTGGAGGTAAAGGGGAACAGCGCACAATATTATCATTCGAAATAGTGGACCTGTAATGAGGCACATCACCAAGTACTCCGACCAAGGCTGTGCGACAGCATGTCATACATTGCGATAAGGCGTTAACTGTAAAAAATCATTCTAAATAGGGTCTTGTAACCCAGCAAGACCGATTCTTGCAGGCTCGTACCAGATTAGTTGGGGGGGCGGCAATGCAACGACACTGAAGTGTGCGGAACAGAGGCCCGTAAATCCGACCTAAGCAGTGGGGGGGGGTCGGATACGAGGGGCGATAGCCACACAATACAAGCCACACGGAAGCCCAGAAAAAAAAAAAAAAAAAAAAAAAAAAAAAAAAAAAAAAAAA